ATCCGCTAGTGTTAAGTGGGACTCCGTTATTTCGACTCAGGGGACCTCAAAACTTGTATTTCCGTTGAAAACTCAATTCGAAAATTTTCATGATCGCAATATATTACATATATAGGTAAGTAAAAAACCAGGAATATAAGTGATAAACTTTTATATTCTTTTCTAGACAGGTGCTGTTATATGGCAGCTGTAGATGCAATATCATTTAAAGATATTACATCTTGTAATTGTTTGGGTATTTAGACTCAGATCACTACAAGAAATATTTATGGACCAATGGAAAAAGAAAATTCAAATTGGGTGAAGGGTAGAGTAGTATATACAAGACACTTAGTCTAGTTCCTTTCCATTGATGCAATATATTGTAATTAGTACATGCATATTGGATAAATTAGTTTTGTTTAATTGAGACTATTTCTTGTGGGTGTCACTGTTTATAGTGGAAGTAGAATAAATAGGATATGCCATAGTAAAACTAAATATATACTATAGAAGACATAGTGCCTTATTAAAAAAGAAAATATATTGTACTTGTTTTAAACTGTTAATGCACCCTATCCTATATCATGCATTATCAAACTTATCATGGGAGAAACAGATAAGGTTTTCCTGCATTCCAGGTTCAAATTAATCTTGACTGGTCAAAAAGTATGATTAGATAATCATTAACAGTTAAGGTTGATAATAAAAGCACCCCACTTCAAGGTTAAATGTATTAAGCAAAAAAATAACGGTTACATTCAACCCAAACTTGATAAACCAACATGTTTTCACTATTAATATAACTATTCCACTAAAGGAGTGCTTAACTGCTAACAGTGGTGGGCAGTGTTGTCTGTCTTTATTTAAATAATAATAACTAGATGATTAAATATTTTATTAACAAGCTTACACATCGATTCATATAACCTCACACTCTGTTCTCCTTACTTACAATAGTACCATATGTACATAACCTTATTTTACATATCTTAACATCTCCCTTCTTGAAGTCACTCTCTCCACCTTGGTTCTCTCACTAGCCTCTCTGCTCTGGTGACATAACCATCAAACAAAGTTTCACCCTCATCCTCTGGCTGTTCTTCTTCAGTATCTTCTCCTTGCTGTTCTTCTCCACCCTCTGCACCTTGCTGCTCTTCTTCTTGGCTACCATTGTACTTTGAAAGAGGTTTAATGTGCTTTCTATTTCACTCTATGACTCCCCCACCTTCGTCCTTTCGCAATATGATCTTGGGCGATCCATCCTCCCGATCACCTTGGCTGGAACCAATTCCGAAAACGGACTTGTCTGCATCTGAACTTTTTCTCCCACCTGCAAGTCTCTGAGAGGTTTTGTCCCTCTGTCATAATAACCCTTGCTCCTTTTCTGCCTCTCTTGAAGTATCTTCTTTATCTCACTTTCCTTTACCACCTTTGATTGTAAATGACTATTAGATAGGGGCAAGACTCCTCTCAGGCGTCTACTCATCAGTAGTTCAGCAGGGAAGGGCATATCTGCAAATGGTGAATTATTTAATTCGAGCAAGCACAGAAACGGATCAGTTCGAGCTTCTAGTGATTTCTTTAGCATCCTTTTAATGGTTTGTATATGACGTTCTACTAATCCATTTGCCTGTTGATGCTTTGGGCTGACCATGCTACTTTTTAAATCCCACTGCTTTGCAAATTCAAAAAATGCAGAACTACTAAATTGTGATCCTTGATCTGTGATTACCTCACAAGGAATTCCATGTCTTGAAAAAATTTGTTTTAGAGATTTGATAATACAGCTAGACCCCAAGTCCTCAAGCATAGATACCTCACAGAATTTGAAATAGTAATCTACAACAATTAAATATTTCAAGCCCTGCAACTCCATGATGTCCAATGCTACTTTTCTCCATGGTCCTTCTGCTACCTCCTGCAACACCATAGGCTCCTAGCAATGGGAATTGGCATATTTTTGACATATCTCACAATGTTTTACCATATTTTTTATGTTTGGCCAATAAAGAAGTCCTTTAGCTTTGGCACAACATTTTGTCATCCCTTGGTGAGCATAATGTATTTTCCTTAACATGTCCATCCTTAAGGACTTAGGTACTACTATCTGACATCCTTTGAAGATAATTCCATCACAAAATGTCAGTTCGTCCTTAACCGACTCATATCTTCTAAGCAACGGATCTTTAGTTTTGGGACATCCTTCATCTATCCATTCGCATACTGCTTTCAGTTCTTCATCTTTTTCGGTTTCTTTGCAAACAATGTCACATTCTTCATCAGAAATTGTCATGTTCTTAACCAAACCAATGACAAATGCTTCTTTTTCTTCCTCCTGTTTAGATTTTCCAACACTTGCTCTTGACAGAGTATCAGCAACCCACATTTCCTTTCCCGGTTTGTAAATTAATTCAAATTCATATCTTTGTAATTTTAATAACATATTTTGCAACCTAGGAGGGCATAGATGAATAGGCTTTTTGTGGATCATTCCTAAGGGTTTATGGTCCGATTCGACCTTAAAAGGGTGACCATAAGTATAGTTATAGAAACGCTCGCATCCAAAGACAACATTTCCTTCTCAATGTTAGCGTATCTTTTTTCAGTTAAACTTCTTGAAGCATATGCAAGTGGCTGACCATCTTGCATTAAAACTGCTCCAAGACCGTCCCGTGAAGCATCTACAGACACAGTTACTGGTAAACCAGGATCATATCTAAGGACAGGTTCAGTAGTTAAAGCCAGCTTCAGAGCCTGAAAGGATGTCTGTTGGTTCTCCTCCCAATGCCATTCTACCTTTTTTTGCAATAAAAGGCGTAAAGGAGCCATAATTTGCGCTAAATTTCTAATAAATTTTCCTAGGTAATTCACTAAACCTAAAAATCTTTCCAGTTCTTTTCTGGATTCAGGAGGAGCCATACCCTCTATGACTGTTAACTTGTCTTTATCTGGCTGTATTCCCCTTTCAGACGAAGGATGACCTCCTATTACTTCAATATAAATTTCGTATCTACCTTTAAATTCAGTCCACTCTTGAGCAGGATCACCATTCCAATCCATGGATCTTGGGGTTTGCATAAACGATTCCATTATTGTTATCCCAACTATTTTAGTACGTAATATTATCCTTATTTCGTCCGCAGTGCCATGTTGTATGTCTTTATTTAAATAATAATAACTAGATGATTAAATATTTTATTAACAAGCTTACAAATCTAGATTCATATAACCTCACTGTTATCCTTATTTACAATAGTACCATATGTACATAACCTTATTTTACATATCTTAACAGGCAGTACCAGCAAAATAAATCCCAAGCACCATTATGGCTGGCACATAGAAGATATATAGATACATACATAGAAGAGTCCAAGGATAGGATATACATGAAGTTAATGCTAGCCTTATGGTGGTTGGAGGATGCTATTAAATCACAAATTAACCCCCTGATCTTCAGGGATGCCAATTGTAGAAATTAATAAAAAATACAAAACTTATTAAAAGAATTAATTTTAGCCTATTAATAAAGCAGCTGTAATAAAAAAATATTGAATGAAATAAAATTCAATTATTTACTTTAGGGGGGCAATGAGGTCTTTGGTCAGGGGTGCTGAATGTTTAAGTCCATCACTGCATAAAATAGCCAAACTTTCTTTATTCACAGTAATATTAAGTATCTAAAACTTGAGGGAGCGGGGTGGATGAATGGGCTAAAGCGTGTGCACAGCACAGAGAGTTGCCTGGCAACCAGATATATGAAGTTTTGAGATTACAATAATTACGAGTTCGTATCCCCGTCCCGGGGAAATCCTGTATAGCCTAAAAGGCAAGGTGGGGAATAATAATAAAAAAAATAATCTATAACTTGTATATTATTGAACTCAAAATTATAAAACTAGCTCTAAACCATCTTCTTAAAACATTGGGAGGGGAAGGAGAAATGGTAGAAGATACCTTTTATGAGGGCGCCTATGCTAAACATACCATGTTATAAAATCCTTATTTGTTACATTTTTATTTTTAATAAAAAATATTGGTTGCTTCATATTTGAATCATTGTTGTTGTACAGGGATACTTGAATATAGATGAGGTTTTTTTTTTTTTTTTTTCAGAAATATACAATAAAGCAGTTATTTTAAAACAAATCCTCATTACTATATAGAGATGGGTCCCAGAAAGCTCGGTTCTGACAATATGGGTTTGATCCCTCCCTCCTGGGTCAGTTACTTTTCTTTTCTTAACAGCACTGGGGAATGCAGCATGACATTCTCACTCTGCTAAGTACATAGCGGCAACCTCAAGACAGGCATCAGGGGTTGGTAAAAGGACAGTGAGTGATTGGCCCACCAGTCCTAACTACATATAAACTATCTTTGCTGGACTAGTTCCTCCCACCAGTAATTACTATATCTATATCTTCTCCAACCTTCTGTACCCACTTATGGCCTATCATTCCATAACATCACACTTGTTTTTTTCTCCTTCATACATTTGAGAGTAAGTTGAAATTATATAATTCCCCAATGTTTGGTATCTTAATCTACAATCACTATCTGGGTTAATAATTACATCACTAACAATGAGGAAAAAAGCAAAACACAATAATTATCCAATTCTTGGCACTTATTAACAATAAAAATGTTTTCCATTTTTCGTTTAATAAATTTTAACTCAAATTTCTGAGAAATTTTTTGCATGCAGACGGTCTATTATGTCTTTGCGTTAGTGGACGGATGTTAAAAATTAATTTTTTTGATGGAAAAAGAAGTTTACAATTAAAATGGGGATAATAAATTGAAATTGGCATAAGTTTGATCATCTTCTTTTAAAATTAAAATAAAGGTGATAACTAGGTTCTTTAATAAGTCTAATTTCCTTTTTAATTTAGTTAAAACCGGCCAAACACATTTTGACAGACTCTACACAGATCAGAGAGGTTCTTGAGAGAAATCTATATGGATTAAATTTAAATATGTAAGTAACAGGGAACATTAACAAATCAATAACAACACCTCCTGTATACGTAAAAATTTATTCACACATCAAACTTAACGATATCCATAAGAATTGATTACAGCGGTATAATTAGCATTCGCTTTGGACATCTTTTCCTTGGCTTGTTTAGTCAATTTCTGAAAAAAAAAAAAGATTATGAATAATAAGAAATTTCCAAAAACAATACATCTAATAGATGATTTTATCAGTAAGAACATTAGTCAGAATACAAGGAAAACGTAAATGATAAGTAAATAGAAGTGATTTAACAAAAAAAAAAAAAAAAAAAAAAAAAAAAAAAAAAAAAAAAAAAAAAAAAAAAAGCACATTGGAAAGAGGGTTAACCCTGAAATGACACACTACTATTTTCCTTTAACGCTACTGGGACAGCGGGGTGTATATAAGTATAACGCCAGTTAAAGGATAAACAATACAAAAAAGTGCATGTAGAGTTGTGGGAATAACACAGTGAGATTCGTGGAAAATAAGGGCAAATTAAATTTGTGTGGTTGGAGTATATTTCATGCCCCTGCGGAACTACTGGGATGGATGGGAGGAGCTTTCGGTCTGAAGCCCACCCCCAAATGGCTAAATGTAACCATACATAAATGGTAAAGTGTAACCATATTTCATGGGAAAAAAATCTCTCAAAGTATCATTGTTTGTGAGGAAGGGTGGCCGAAAGGGCTAACTTGTGTGCGCAGCATTGCGAGTTGCCCGGCAACAAGATCAAGGATTTGAAAGGTTATAAAAAGTATGAGTTCGCGTCACGTTGCCGGAGGGGATTTTAAATTTCCTGCCCTCAGCTCCGGCCCAGAGAAAATAGCCTAATAGGCAAGGAGGACCAAGTACTAGTATTTCTACCTTTTGCACACATTGATAACTATATTTCCATAAGAGACATAGGGAGTAATTTAAAACCTTTTAGTGATTACAGTACATTAATCTTTCACCATAATAAAAAACACTGAGATAAAAACACCAATGACAACTTAGCTATGGTAAAAAACAAAAGTAAGATATGTTTCTTTCATCAATTTATGCAACTATAATGAAAAAATAACAAAAATAAAAAAATGAACAAAGAAATGCAGCAGAGCTGATTGTTCAGGGACAGCCAGACATAGATACTTTAATGAAGAAACACAGTGCCAATGTCCAGAGGTTGAAAGAGATAGTAGATATATTCACTGAACCCATTAGCTACTAGTGATATGAGAAATTTCATTAAAATAAAAAAAATGATGCAAATTAGTATTTATATATTAAAAAAATCACTCACCTTGAGGGAATTCCTCTTGCGAATATCAAAAACTGCCCTGACCTTCCTCTTGGTTTCAAGGGCCCTGACCACATCCTTGTACTTCCAGCCAACTTCAGAAGATAACCTGCCAAGATGGCAATAAGCCCTACCAGGTTTTAAGCACAAAACTCTCATGGCTGTTGGGACTACTACTCGCTTCCTTTTGTCATATGGGGGAGGGATTCCCTCAAACAACTTGATACGCCTTAAAGCAGCCTTTCCCCTTTCAATTTTGTGTGGCACCATACCTATACAAATCATAATTTCTTATTTACAGCTAAGTACGCATACACATCAAATAAATGCAAAATGAACCAGATGGTGAAACATCATAAATTCAGTATTAAGTATCAAACACAAAATCGCCAATTCATAAATTTTTTTAAATAAAATTAGAGACCAAAGTTGGTGCAGTAAAAAACTTAAAATTGTGTACACTGAAGTGTTTATAGTCAAACAGAAGAGTCTAAACTGATACCTTCATTAATTTTATTATGATTAAAAAAAAGTTGTGGCAAATCTTAATTTCTAAAATCAGCTTTTAAAAATTTTGATAATAATTTCGTTGGATGGATGATACGCTATGCTAGACGGTTTAGCATTGATGCCCTAAACTAGACAATCTCAAAGCCCCTCTCCCTCCAAAAACATAATACGTCGACCCTGATACCGATTAAATCCAAACAGTTTTAATAAGTCAATAGCCGGAAGCACAATCTCAAATCCGACAGTATTTTCATAAAAAGCACCTCATAACAAACATAATCGTCAACCATAATATCGGTTAAATCACAAAAGTTACAAAATAAACCCCGATAAGAAATCCGAAAAACTCAAATAGTTGTAACGCAGTGGCGTAATCTCAAAATGGACATAATTTTTAAAAACTACGCCTCCGAAAACATACAAATAGATCCTGATATGGAAGAAATCTTAAAAACTTAAAAGATCATAGAGGGGATTAAAACTATTTTACTGACATCAGTATGACTTTAAATTTAAATACAGCTGATTTCAATTACCACTAGTAGTTTACAATCCTTCCATCAAATATACAGAGCTTTTCAGATAAAATAATTTTCACATTTTAATCAAATAATGTAGGTAAGGTTAAATAAATAATCATCATAAAGGCTCTGTATCAAAATTGATAATAAACTATCTTTGCAATATACGAGACCAAGATCAATTATCCATTTAATGTAACCACACAAAAACTTTTTCAAAATTAATACTAATGAGAAATCTCAATGTAAACTTGATTAAGATAAATTTCTTAGGGATCATTTTAGAAGTATCCAAACTTTTATGCCTACAGACCATGGACCCTTCATTAAATGTTTTATTTTTATTGAGGTTATCCTCCAGGTAAACATCAGATGACAAATATTGAGTGTATAATGTGTATTCATGGGAACCTATCAGGATGATTTATCACTTATTAAGATGTTTAACAAGGATATCCTGCCAGTTTTTAAACATAACCAAGATTAAGTAAAAATATTATCAATAACCCATACAAGTGGAACAATCTATAATTGTGATGTACATATTCTGGGCAAAGCTGATTTGACTTTAAATTTAAATATAGCTGATTTCAATTACCACTACTAATTTATTATCCTTCCATCAAATATACAGAGCTTTTCAGATAAAATAATTTTCACATTTTAATCAAATAATGTAGGTAAGGTTAAATAAACAATCATCATAAAGGCTCTGTATCAAAATTGATAATAAACTATCTTTGCAATATACGAGACCAAGATCAATTATCCAATTAATGTAACCACACAAAAACTTTTTCAAAATTAATACTAATGAGAAATCTCAATGTAAACTTGATAAAGATAAATTTCTTAGGGATCATTTTAGAAGTGTCCAAACTTTTAGGCCTACAGACCATGGACCCTTTATTAGATGTTTTATTTTTATTGAGGTTATCCTCCAGGTAAATATCAGATGACAAATATTGAGTGTATGTGTATTCATAAGAACCTATCAGGATGATTTATCACTTATTAAGATGTTTAACAAGGATATCCTGCCAGTTTTTTAAACATAACTAGGATTAAGTAAAAATATTATCAATAACCCATAAAAGTGGAACAATCTTTAATAATTGTGATGTACATATTCTGGGCAAAGCTGATCTGACTTTAAATTGAAATATAACTGATTTCAATTACCACTACTAATTTATTATCCTTCCATCAAATATACAGAGCTTTTCAGATAACATAATTTTCACATTTTAATCAAATAATGTAGGTAAGGTTAAATAAACAATCATCATAAAGGCTCTGTATCAAAATTGATAAGAAACTATCTTTGCAATATACGAGATCAAGATTAATTATCCATTTAATGCAACCATATTCTGGGCAAAGCTGATTTGACTACGACCTTTATTTGGAGATCAAAAGCTGACCACTGCTTCAGTGGAACAAAATAGGAAAGAACCTATTTTGTTGTTGCTGCTCGGCAGTCTAGGTATGACGTCATATATAAGCTGCTCCTGTCTCACCACTCTTGAAGCAGTGGAGCTGTTGGCGGTTTTAGGTTATGTTATCATATCAGAGCATTGTTTAGATGCTAACAGTCACGTTCATACGTTTTATTTCCTATGTTTCTTTCAAGTCTGACAAATTATACGAAATATTGTTTTGAACGTAAACAACACAATAACAAAATTTTTTTTTTTTTTTAAGGTTGAAGTAACAAGGTTATTTATTCAACTGACAGTATTTTAGAGCGAAATTCTAATATACCTAAATCGAAATGATATTAAATAAATAAAAGAATAGAAAAGCGGTGGTAAGTCCATTTTTTTCATCTTTGAAGATAGAAGGAAATGTTTGAAGATTGTAACAACCTCAGTGAGCAGTTTCAGCAAAATAGCTACGCAACAACGACTGGCAATGTGAAATAGTGGCCGCTGCTGTGGGCAGCACCAGTGAAATAGTATTTCAAGACTTGTTCTCAGTATCACGTATAATAAAAAAAAAAATATTCCTTCTTATGCCAGGCAACTAGCGGTGCTGTGCACTCGCTTTAACCTATTCGGCCACCCCGCCCCATGAGAAAGATACCTGTAAATCTTTCTCATGGGGCGGGGTGGCCGAATAGGTTAAAGCGAGTGCACAGCACCGCTAGTTGCCTGGCAACCGGATAACAGAGATTTGAGATGATATAAAAAGTACGAGTTCGCGTCCCGGTGCCGGAGGGGATTTTAAATTCCCCGCCCTCACCCCCTGGCCCGGGAGAACAAGGCGAGGTAGGGAAGAACAAAAAAAAAAAAAAAGGTATCTTTCTCATGAACTAATAATAGAAGTGTAATAAATAACATGATAGACAGCGGAATACAATCAGTTTAAATGCATTACTTATGCAGCTTTTCAGTCAATTTTCTTTTCATATTTATTCAAAGATAGAATAATGAATGTCATCAGTAAAGACTGCATTAGTTTCAAATGGAAATCTTCAAATTTGCTGATTGGACAAAAAACCCACCAGTCCTCAACATGTCATTAAAAAAAAAAAAGAAAAAAAAAAAAGAAAATAGTTTGAAGTATAAGAATTCTTCAAAATATATGCTTACCCCCCAAAATATATGCTTACTAACAGTATTTTAGAGCGAAATTCAAATACATCTAAATCGAAATGATATGAAATAAATAAAAGAATAAAAAGTTCCAAGATTGTAACCTCAGTGAGCAGTTTCAGTGAAATAGTTTCTTAAGACTTGTTCTCAGTATCACGTATAATAAAAAAAAAATTATCCTAAGACTTGTTTTCAGTATCAAGTAAATAAAAAAAAAATAATCCTATCTTATGCAAGGTTACAGGTATCTTTCTCATGAACTAATAATAAAAGTATAATAAATAACATGATAGACAACATAATACAATCCAACCAACAATACAATCAGTTTAAATCCATTAATTACGGAAATACATATAATTATTTGGATCAAATTTTAAGATATGTGAAAATATGAATGCAGCTTTTCAGTCAATTTTCTTTTCATATTTATTCAAAGATAGAATAATGAATGTCATCAGTAAAGACTGCATTAGTTTCAAATTTGCTGATTGGACAAAAACCCACCAGTGCTCAGCATGTCACGAAAAAAAATAAAAAAACGGAAGAAAATAGTTTGAAGTATAAGAATTCTTCAAAATATATGCTTACCCCTGATGGTTCTATACAAAATTTTACTGGGTGCCCGGAAGTGGAAAGGACCTCTGGCTGGATTAACATTACATCTTTTTCTTAAAAACGATAAGTACTTTAGTTTACTCCTGCAAAGAGACATATAAATATATTAGACAAAATAAAAATAAATCATTATAAAAACTAATACATGAAACAGATCCTTAAAATTACACTATTAATATCACATTCGCTTATTGTCACCAAGAGACAGGTATGCATATAAGAAGTCAAATATACGAGTAAGTCCCTAAACTCAGGGTGCGGTCAATGTATAAAATACTATATTACATAATAGTATGTTTTATTGAATGTTCCTGTTTATCACGTAGTATAATATTTAATAAGTAGACTGCAATCCCGACTATCTTTTTCTGAAATTAGAACCTAGTCAACCATCTCCACACCATTAAAAATGTAAGTTATATATACTTGATAACATAAACAAAAGTTTGATTACAAAACAACACAAGTTTACTATATAAAGCAATCTGAAAAAAATAAAATATTAATAGCAACAAATAAATCACTTATCGAAATTATTAATAATCAACAGTCTTGCTGATGCCATGAAACGCTCAATTACACGATGGCCTTAATATTTTTTACACATGGAACAGGTCTTCTTAGTGTTACGATAATTTTCCTTCCACTAACATGACATATTCAAAAACATTAATTTAACCACTAACATCAAAAATATCCGAGAAAAACCATAAGTAGAACATGTGCGGGCGCGCAGTCCAACTAAACTGTCCAAGCAAAATGAAAAAGTACTGTGAGTTGTAAGTTCAGGGGAAGGCAAGAAGGTGGCATGACAATAAAGATCATACAAACTTGTAGCACCAATTATCACGGCATTCGGACCCTTTGAGACATTTGATAGCCTGTAAATCAAGGCTGGCGCCAGCACCCTCACTGGAAGGTTCATTAGGTATGAAGTTTTAGTATTTTACTCATGAAATAAATAGAAATGTTTATATTCCTTAGCATCCAAATAAGAAAGTATTGTAAGCGGACCAAATTTTAATTAAACAGTTTTAGAGATCTTTAAATTTTAGAGCCATTTGAGATACAGTAAATAATTTATTATAATTATATAACCCATAAAATTTAAAGTTCTAAATAACAAAAGTGATTTTCATCAATTAAAAAAAATAAAACCAGATATTTTTAAGTTTGAAATCGGTACAATTGTCACTCCACTTTCATGGACAGGACAAGATCTCATAATCACACTATAAATGGGATTCTAAGAATAGCAGATTACTTTGTCAACAGTTCAACCTCTCTATATTTAGTTTACAATTTACATCTTTGTCAAACTATCTACTTGCCCTTTCCAGTTATAATCTGGACTTAATTACATTGCTGCTTTTGTCTTTCATCCACCTTCGATTCTCAAGATTGCATTTCACGTGTGCCACTAATGAAAGAGTGGTGACATTTGTGCAGTAGTACCTCGGCAACTAACAAAACTCAAGTGTTCGAGATGTTGGTTCAAGCACTAACATATGAATGCGAAGGTTTGAAATCAGATTTTTTATGCTTTTGAGCACACTTCGGCATTCTGTGGTAAGAATGAACTTGAACTTGTTGCTAACCTGGATACAGTTATAGCTCAAGAAAATCATACGTTCAAAATTAGAACAAATTAAATAACATTCATTAATCTACTTTAACAATACTTAAATCAATTCACTGCAGAATGGAATCTTAGATACATTATTAATCTAGAACTATTACTAAAAAGAGTTATAAATTAATAATCAAATCATTAGATATAATAACTAGCAAAATAATGGTACAAGGTAAGAGGATGAAGTAGTTCTAAATAAGACAAGAACATGCTACTACATTTAATTTAATTATAAACATTTCTGGACACAAAAAATAAGATAAGTGAGGTCATCATATTAAAGTGATCTCATGAACACATTGAAAATATTAGATTCATAGTTTACAGGAGTGAAAAAGCTGAGGAAATATAAATCTTCCTTCTGGTCATAAAGAAAACGGCCAATTTTAACAATAACTTGAAGAAATAGTAACAGTTAATTATTCAAAAGAAATCCTTAATATAAAAAAAGAACTTACCTGAAGAAGTTTCCTGAAATATTAATTTGTTCCGTCCTAACAACAACGACCCTGTTTCCATTCAAAGCAGCTTTAGCTACAATAGCTGAAAGTCTACCCAGTAGGTGACCTTTGCCATCAATTAAGATGGGCTAAAACAGAACATAGATTCACATATTTATAATGTTAAAAATACGTTTCTAATCACTTATAAAGAAAATAAAGTTTAAGATGAAACTAAATTTGCAAACAGTTACTAAAACACGACCACGTGTACATACACAAACATTTAAACCATTTCAACTATTAAGCTTCATAACAACAATCCACAATGTACTTTGCTAACAAGTTTTTTAATTTTCATGATAATATGAATGATTCATATCGTAATAAGTAACCAAAAATATAGACCAACCTTGTCCGAAAACCCCGTCATTTCGAGTAAAATGGAAGGGTTCCTGAACGCACTACACGAGACTAACTTATGTCAAGGCCTTTACGATTCTGAGACTGATTTATAAAAAATATATCTCCTTAACATCATTGTACAATAATTAAATTAAATTAATCGTATAAAATTATAATAATTAATTTTTATAAAGTTATTCTATAATAGTTTCAACTGACTAACAGTAAATCAAATGCTAGATGTTGTGGGAGAAAAAAATATTTGAATAGGTTATAATTGTACTTGCGACAGTTGAAAAGTACTTGTCAATATGTTGTTTATATGTAAGCTTCCTGGTATATATTCCATTATTAAGTATTATGGACAATAATTTTTAATATAAGTGATAAAGTCTAATATAAATTTTACAAAATAGTTGTAAAATCAAAGTTATAGTTATTGAAAAGTTAGTGTTACTGTGGACTGATAAAAAGTTGGATGTAAACTATGCTCAGTTAGCAAACAGTAATACTATAACCAGAAAAAAATATGGAATCATCTAACAAAGAATCTAAAGGTACTCATAAAACATTTGAAATATCTGATTTTGAATTAGGTTCTGTGGTAGGAAGTGGTAAATTTGGACGTGTTTACTTAGCTCAAGAAAAGAAAACAAAATTATTAGTAGCTGTAAAAATTATCGAGAAAGAACATATTAAAGAACAAATTCTTCAAACGCAAATCTTTTATGAGATTTATTTTCATTCTATGCTGAGACACCCAAATATCATTAGAATGTATACATATTTCCATGATTCGACTTCTCTCTATTTCATTTTAGAATATGCCTGTAATGGATCATTATACAAAAATATGCGTCAACAGAAATATAAAAGATTTACTGAAGATTTAGCTGCTAAGTATATCTACCAAACTGCAGATGCCTTGAAGTACTGTCATGATTTAGATTTTTTCCATGGAGATGTCAAACCTGAAAATATTCTACTTGATTCTCGTGGTAATGTTAAACTCTCTGATTTTGGATTGGCTTGGCCTTCAGATTCTAGTGCGTTAAATAGCAGGGGGTGTCTGTGTGGAACACGAGATTATTTAGCACCAGAACTATTGAAAGGGGAACCGTATAATGAAAAGGTAGACCATTGGAGTTTAGGAGTTCTATGTTTTGAACTTCTTGTTGGTAGAAGTTTATTTGCAAGTAAACGAAGAGAAACTACTGTTCAGCGTATATTAGAGGTTGACATCAGATTCCCCAAAATAGTGACAGAAGAAGCACAGGATTTTATTTCTAAGTTGGTTACATACAAACCTGAACAAAGAATGTCATTAGAGAATGCCATGTCACATTTATGGATAAGACAAAATTTTGATGAAATCTGTGGACAGTAATACATTTGAAAACCTAAGCAATATTTTATATTTATAATGTAATATTTTTATGAAAATTATTTTTTGAATTAAAAAAACAAAATAAAAAAATAAATTATATGCTAGTCATAGTCATAATATTGGGTGAAAAGATCCACTGTTGATTTTGTTGGGATGAGGTTTATTTTTAAGGAAACATATTGGATTTTTATAGTTATTTTATATGCTGTTTGATCTGCTGTTCTAAATGCATCTAATCTTCCTCCCCGTTAATGATCTGGAGAATTAATTTATCATTTAGTAGTAATTGTCGTTGGCGTTCATCTGGGAACCCCAGAATTTATGGCCTTTTTGCTTGTCCAAGCTTATATTTTTATAGTTTTCAATATATTTTTAATATTTCATTTAATTTTTTTTTCATTTCATTTTTATGCTGTATAATCATTTTTAATATTTTCTTATATTTCTATGTTTACATGATTCTGGTATCTTGTTTTGCTTATCCCTCCTGATGAATTCCTACAACTTAAGCCAAACTGTCATATATTAAAACAATTGTTAACTAACAGTGTTTCTATCCTGAATGCACCTTCAGTCAGCTTTTCTTTTATTAATGTACAGTAATTATCCCAATATCCTCTTCTTTTTTTTTCCTTAAACATTTTTTAAATTAATTTTATTCAATTTTAATTTATAATTTTTGTTTTTATTTCTATATCCATAGCAATTTTCATAGTTATATTATTTATTACTTTTTTATCTTATTATTTATGTATACAACTTTTTTTTTTTTCTATGTAAAGACTAATGATTCTATTAAGTTTTTACTGATGTTCTTCAGGGGCTTACTCTTTTTATTTTGCACTGACTTTTCTTGATTCTTTTTACTGTGTGTATTTTCGGTCCCAATATGTAACCATTCAATTGACAAATCACAACATTTTACTTAGCAAAAATAAAAAAATTAACATTTTAATTTCCATCATCTTGAGGTATGTATATTTTATTTATTTAATTTTTTAATCAGTCATTATTTGTAAATGATACACTATCAAGTTTAAAAGATTATCAATCATTTGTTATCCTTAAAATTTAAGTAATAGTAAAATTGACTTCTTCTTATTAATGGGGAATCACGTTGAGACCAATAATATAGTTTTTGTTATTTAAATTACATTAATCTATAACATTTGAGGCATCTGATTTTTTGTGAGGAAAGCTATCAGATGGTTTTTGTATTTCATAAAATTGCTGCAGCTTCTTTAATTTTAGAAGACCTTATCCCTTTTTTGTTAATCATTATTTAAATTAGGTACTTACTTAAATACTGCTGGATAATAGTCAAAAATAGTTTATTATTGTATAAAGCAGTTAACAATTTGAAAATTCTATAGAGTATTTCTTAGTTTATTTATTTATTTTGTATAGATTTTATTTATTGATATTAGAAAACATTGTTAAAGTTGTTTAATGTTATATTAATGCATGCTTTGTTTATGCATCATTATTTCCAAATGCTTTTTCATAATAATATATATGCATAAATATATATATTGTAATTATTATATCCATATCAAGTGTGAATAACTAGGTAAAGTGATTTTGATCAAATGTGTTTTACCTGTATTAATGATTTATTTCTCTTAGTTTATGAAGAATTTGATCAACCAAAATTTGGATTAATAGTATCACCTTATTTTGAACAAAAACAATGTTTAGGAATAAAAACAGGATTATGCCAATTGAGAGGAGAGCTCATTTAAGTGGTTTACTTATACCTATTACTTCACAGTTCGTATGGATACTTGATTATTAGTACTTAATATTATAAGTTTTATTAATTTATTACCAATAATTTTTATATTTACTTTGGATTAGAAATAAACACTTAATGTAATATTTACCAATATTTTAGTTTTTAATGAAAATAACAATTCAAAAATTAATTATTTGTATAAATTAGCATTATTGCTATTTTTGAAAACCTTAATTAGATCTGTTTATTCAATAAACATAGTCTTTTTTGTTTTTTTAAAGAAAGAATTTGAAATAAAATATGCTGAACCTAATTTCTTTTTATTTTTTTTTTGATCATTTTTAATATTCATGGGTTCTAGAGGCACTTGGTCCCTTTGTTCATGGAACCAGTATATTATAATTTTAAGTTTTTTAAATAAAAATTATTTCATTATTGTTATATTTGTGAATTATGGTTATAAAGTATTTAAATTATTTTTCTACCGAAAGTACATTAAAGAGGTTCAAAGGAATGTCCAAAAGTGTTCAAAGTAATTAATAACAGAATGATTGTACCTGTTTGCTAGTAAGTCAAATGCGTGGTAATAAAAATATTTATTATCTGTGCAAAGCTTGTGTTTTTTTTTTCATCCTACTCTTCATGTATTGGTGTTAACTTTATTGTATAAAAGATCATACATTTAAAATTAAATGTTGGATCATTGACTGTTGGTGGTTTCAATACTTTTTTTTATCCCCTACGTTTTTAACCACTACCATTTATGGCGTTCTAGAGTAACAACCAAACCTATTTTAACCTGCTTAGAGGCTAGAATTCAGGATGTTAGAATGTTGGAGGGAGGTTAAAATGTTGAAAATAAATTTCAACCTATTCAGGATTCGATCGGGTGACAATAGACTGGAGAATGTTAAAGCGGGCCTTGTCTTGACATGCTTGGCCACCTTGGTCTCAAAGGTTTCAATACTTTATAAGGATTTATACTTTTTGGACCAATGGTTGTGCAAGGAGATGATTGGGCTGTTGGGATAGTGGCAACACATTATAAGAGACACATAATTGATTCTATTCATGTTGGTTCTAATAAAAGAGACCCATTAGGTAACTAGACAACAATGGATTGAAATCCTCATCCAACAAATTTTAATTATCAATTTTTAGTATAGGCCTAAATGTTTGATCCTCATATAATCAACCAGATTGTATTTAATTTACTCCAATTGGCCAGAACTTATTTTTTTTTTCTTGTTCACCCCTTTCTCACCTTTTAAATTGTAGAGGAATTTTCCTGGTGCAGGGATTAATTAATACCAGAGTTTAAAGCTCGCCAGCACCGGGACACGAACTCATAATTAATATACATCTTGTAAACTTTGGCGTTAACCTGCTTGGCCACCCCATCCCTTTGGAGTGGTCAGAACTATGTTCTAACTGATTTATTTATTTATTTTTATTGGAATCTATTAAACCAAGCTTTCCATCCAGTTAAAGACTACAAATTCTCTGTCAAAAGAACATTTAGTAAGCTATTTCAGCATTTACAGCATGTTCATTCAGTAATAGAAGCTAGCATCCAACACGCAAGGTTCCAACCTTATTAACCCTCATAAGTAATTAACATAAAAGCATGAAGTTTCAGTACCACTCTGAGGAGAAGGTAGACCTTGAATTCTGTAAGACTGCAATATGACTATTGTCTGCTTTTAAAATTAGATTACCCTGATTTAGAATGTATTAAAACTACTTACAAAAAAAATTATAGATATCCCTGTATAATTCTCTCACTTGTGTTTCTGGTTATTATTTTTTACTGTATATAAGAAAAAACCCTAAAAGAAAGTAGAACTTGATTTCCATCAAATAAAGTCATATTCAATAAATATGAGCAGCTCTTTTCAATGTGACACTCAGCACAATAAACTTTCATTTAAATTAAAAACTGACAAATTAAAAGCATTGGTACCTGTTCATACAGTCCCTTGTTTCAATTTCTGACATTATAAACATATTATATAGAATATATATTATTAGAATTTCGCTCACTTTACTCAAAAGCACATCAAATCCATAGAGAAAGAAAGCATCACTATCATTAAAGGGAAAGTGGTCCATCCATTTATGAATTTTGTGCCACATGTTACTCCTAACATCTCTGCATTTGTTGCTAGGCTAACACAAATTAAAATAAGATTATTTATTTGTATTTTTTAATTTATTTATTACTGACCACAAGCCTCATCCAATTTAGCCTGCAATTATTTGTATGACCAACCTTACATCTGTCACAACTTTGAATTGTCTACCAGCACATGGTTACTTAAAGATAAGTTATATTAAATGAAGAATAATTATTATTAAGAAATGCTGAATCTTTTCTTTACAAAACAACAATTTGCCATATCGTCCTGGAGAAACATTGTCAATATCTAATATCAAACCCTACTGGTTTTGAGAGAAGATTAGTTATGTTTACTATGTTATAAGGAAGATCCTCCTTTGAACCCAAGACCTGAATAATTCATAGATTGTAGAAGTACAGCAGGTTTTTTTTTTTTATATGTTAGCTAAGTTAAAAATATATTTACAAAACTATTAAATTTTTATTTAGGGGATCAAATGTAACTTACATCAACTTGAAGCGAAAAATCATTTTAAAGCTTTGAAATTCAGAAAAACATGAAAGTAATAAGTAAACGCAAAGTGAAAAGAAAATAGGATTTTAAAATGCCCGCAATGTACGAAGTAGACCTAATAACATATATGTACAGAGAAGTTCCATTGGTTGAAAATTTCCATTTTATGTTGCCTCTTGTAGAATACTGTTAGATATAGTTAGTTCATGGGTAATTTTCGACGAAAAAATCACATTTTTGGAACATTTTTAACTAAATGCTTAAATTATTCTTACCACCGTTGAGAACTGAGGAGAAAAGACAGATTTATTTCAAACATATTCACTAAATAAATAAGATTTTCATCCAAATGAAAATAATTTAAATTTTATTAATCATATAAACAATTTGTTTTATATCGATTATAACATGGGTTGACTTGAGAAAAATAAATATAAAACTTTTGTCTTTCTCTAATATTATTAAAAAAATATTTAAAATGATGAAATTAAAAAACAAAGATGTTTTAACTATCTACTAAAAAAACAATCATTTTTAATTAAAAGGTTTAAATACACTGAGCAAGTTTACAACTACTAGCCAGTGAACACATTAGCTGATTGTAAACTTGCCAGTATAATCATGATCACTAACTTGCTAGGCAAGCAGATCATAACAATTTGGAGGAAAAGTTAAATGCAATTTCTTACTTGACTCATTGGCCGGCTTCTGGGCTTGTTAGCTAGTAAACTAGCTTTTTTTTTGTCATAATTGCTAGTGAATTAGTTTCAATCATCCAAGGGATTCCTGGTTTCTGATTCTACCAAATGTTCTATGTTGCCATTGGATAGCTTTGGGTGTCACCATAACTATTATACTGTCTTGCCAGCCAGTGGCTTATTAACTTGCCCAGTGTAATTTAGACACATCAAAACAAATCATTAGAAACAATTGACAATCAGTATTTAATGTATTGCATTAATATTTAAACACATTATGCTTTGTCCTACATGATAACCTGTATTTACATTTATCTGATCTTTTGAAGATCAATCAATATATTCTTAAAGATATACCATTTTTTAGCAACTATAATTTAAAAATCCATAACTGTTATAATACAAAAGATAAAACAATAATTAGGTTGTGTATAATATATTTCCTAATCTAATTAAAATAAATTTTTAAGTTGATCAATACATATTTTTTTCTGATACAATAGTTGAAACCAGTAAAACTAATTTGAGCAGTATTAATTGTTAACAAAACTCCATGGATAATTTGATCTAAACTAACCAACTTAAAGTAATTTTTAATTTAAAAAAAAGAAAGAAAGACAAAGCGGGATCACAATTTTAAATTTTTTTATTATTAATGTTTTTTATATACAAAAAAAATTACAATTATCATCTTGAAAACTAGATGGTATTTACAGGTCTCTGGTTACATATAATGAAATGATTTTTTTTATTTGATTTTTTTATTGTTTAATAAACAAAAACAACAGTCAATAAAAAAAATCCTCATTAAGGTCTAGCATGGACTGGCGTTATGTCCTCTGGACTTGGAGTTTCTTTGCTTTCTTCTTCTGTGTACTTCGTTGTTGTTGGAGCTGATAACCTCATTTTTTCGGGATCGCCAGTTCGTTCATCGGACCTCATTAGGAACAAAATACCGAGGTTAAGTTCTGGGATTTCATAATATATGGTCAGAAGAAGCATCATGAAGGTAAGACCAACTAACAGGTAAACTGTGAAACATAAATAATAGTTTGTTAAAATAAAGAACAATTTAACAAACGTCAATAAATCAAAACAAAACAACTATAATAAAAAATTATAATTTGTCATGGCTTTGAAAAAATCTCTGTGAGTTACAGTAAATTGTTCAGATCATAAAAAAAAGGAAAAGGCTCTTTTGTGATAGTTTTAGGATCACTTAAATATTTAAAAAAAATTATTTGAACTTACCCAAAAGATAACAAGAACTTCTTGTTGTTAGAATCTATACTTTAGTACAAATAATATTTTAGCTATTTGAGCAAAAATAAATTACAAGATGCACACTAATTAAATTACTACAATGTGTTGGTGTTGATTAATTGTTGTGATTTGTATGAAGTATATTTTTAAGTTTCGCAATGAAAAAATTGAATCTAATTTAATGAAAACTTCAGTTCATTGAATTACATATAACCATTAATTTATAACCAAGATAAATAAAATAAAAATATTCATAAAAATACTGACCTGTTGTTAATATTTTATAAAAAGGTCTGTAGGGCTGGTTGGGGAAATCACCAGGAATATAGTCACCTAAACCAACAGTCGTCAGGGATATAAAACAGTAGTAAAGAGAGTCGAGGAAGTCCCATTCTGGCTCTATTGCTGCAAAAATCGATGCTGGTATCATAATGCAGAAGATTATTAGGATACTTCCAACTGCCATGAGATGTAGAACTCGAATATTAAAAGGCTGTAAACCAAATATGAAATATTTTAAAATGATTTACAAAATGGCCAATCAAAATTAGTAAACAAGAATAAATTAATAAACAATAAAATTTTTGAACATTATGCCCTAGATTTGAACAATATATTTTTAAAAACAATTATTACCATAAATTATATAAAACTTAGAAAATACTTAGAAAAAAATCTTTCTCTTTCCATTTTGATTTCTGTTCCATTATTATCTTGAAAAGTCTTTCTGGTGTTCTTGCACAATATGTCCAAACCGTGTCTAATTGTTTTCTTCTATGGTGGTTATTTATTTACCTTCCCTCTCTTTTTAGCTTGATCACTCCTGTTTTCCCACATCACCCCTGATGACCTAAATCAGTACGGCCACACTGTTTTAGCTTCTATGTATTATCCATTTAATTATGTTCTAAAGTGACTTAGTCCCAAAATAATAAACCATTTTTAAAAAAAATTTCTTTTCATAATAGAAGATGATAAGAATTCTTCAATTTCTTCTTGTCTCAATTTTCTATATACATTCTATAAAAGTCTATCTCAATACATAACAGTGTTCCAAGCTATCTGAAATTAATAACCACATTTTTGAGACATATGTAGTAATAACAATGAATACAGATTAATATATGGTGATCATCCAGCAAAATCAAATTCAGCAGTGCTATGGGTTTTACTCCTTCTATTGTATCTCTTTCTAGCACTAGAAAAAATGCCTTGACTATTGGTGACTGGCATCCTTCTCTTCCCTCCTCCCATATTTTATCATTGAAAGTATTAAGAAAATAAATTGAGCACGATGTTGGAAGAAATGGCAGGAGAAGAACAGTTAATTAGAGAAACAATAAATTTACATTATTGATTTATTTACTTCTTAGTGAATGATTTTAACTTCATTAGTTTTATAGATTTTGAAATCCTGAGATAACTTACGATGAGCAAACCCATGGGCGGGCGTATGCAGGCGCCGTTGTACCCTCCCTCCTAAATAATTTGAAATAAAATAAAACATAGTATATTACAAAAGATTTGCCCAAAAAATTAACTTTTAATAATTGCTGTTCTACATGCATTGTATTAAAGATAAAAATATTCATAAATTGTAATAATAAACTTTTTCAAAAAAAACAAAACCATTTTTGTGTTGTCTCTCTTATATGAAAGCTGGATACGCCCTTGGCCAAACCCATACTGATAACATATGAATAAAAAAATTACCTGATAAAGATGTCCTAAGCGACTGTTTAAGTACTGCAAGAAGGCTGTTGAGAACACCATAAGTCTATCCACTAAGGCAGAAAGTAGCACCAGGGTAAGAGGTATTCCAATCATTGCATAAATTATGCAGAACATCTTACCCTCTCGAGACAACGGAGTGACGTTACCATATCCTATGTCAAAATTATGATTATTAGCAAAGGCTATGGCTAATTATTTTTCACTAGGAAAAAAAAAAGATTAATTTCATGCTAATATTTATTAGTTTTGTTTTCATTTTAATCACATTAAAATAAAATACATCTTTTTATTAAAAAATAACATCTTAAAAATGATTGGTGAGAATAATTGTTATAATTAGTGGATACTTGGATCCAAACCGAATCAAGAACATGGTAAAGTACCTCAAGACCTAGCTAGTGCTGCTCCTAGTATATAGTTTGTGAGTTATGTCAATATTTTCATGACAAGAAATCTTGTAATTTTTAAACCTTTTTTCGGTTTGGACCTCTCAAATAACTCTCTCTGGGGTCTAAATAACAGTACAGTAATAAGCCACAAAATTTAGAGATACTTTTTTTGCAATTTTTCCTCTTATGTATGTAGAAAAAACAGTAATAGATTTATATTATGATAATATGAACATACCAATAGTTGTAACGATAGTACTTGAGAAAAAAAGAGATTGCCCAAAACTCCAGTTTGGTTCACCAGAAACATTATTTGCAGCAGAAACTCCTCTATTGCTAGCTTTAACAACTTCTTGAATTAAATCTTCAAGAGCGCTATCTGAAAATACATAAAAACAACAATGAGAATATGGCTTTTCAAAATAAATAAATTTGTAAAAATAAAGGATATTTAATTATGAAAACATAAAATTTGTTTCTAAAGCAAATTAGGATATAGAAACTGATTAAAAAGTTTATTAAAGATTAGAGATGATGTAGAAATAGCTCGGATGGAAATTTGTTTTTACTTTCAACAATTCAATCAAAACAGACGAGGGTTTTAGGCAATTTTTTTTTTCATTTTGAAGTATGTATTGAATGATAAGTTACAAAAGTTGGAGTAGGACAAATGAGCAAATTGCTTACAAAAGTGCACACATCCAATTTAGGAAATTTTTCATAAAGGTGAAAAATTAATTACAGTATTAGTTACACAGCTATCCTTACTTAAGCTACAAGAGGATGTGATTTGTAAGATCAGTTTTGACAAGAAATGATTAGGGGATTCAGTTTAGTTTATCAAAATTAATTTTAAACAATGATGAAAACTCGATGCATTTAACGACAACAGTCTTGGAAAATATGAGGTCAAGGAGGTAATGTATATTGAGCTACATAGTATTCCTCGTCACTTTGAGAACAGTGATAGTGGTTCTGGGTCTTTGTTGATATGCTTGATGATGGTTTAGTAAATGTAAAGTTTAATATTTTTTTTTAAATGATAAGTACTGTAGTAATATATTTTTTTTCAAGTATAAGTTAGTCAGAATAAACATCAGTTGAGCTCTTGTTATAAAATCATAAATGAGGATCTCAGGGAAGTCACTACAGAGGAGTTTGCCTCCCCCCTCATCACCCTGCCCTTCCCAATATTTTTCTTCTTATAATATGGTGCTATGCCCTGTGTGGCGACAAGTTCTCTCGCAGTTTTGAACCCCAGTCATCTCTTTTCCATATTGCCACCTTCCAGTTTTGGACTCCAAGCATGGACTGTGCATCTGCAGTCATACCATCAATCCCCAACAACTTTGGCCTCCCTCTTCTTTTTTTTGCCAAATTCCCTTCCAAGAGCACATTTGTTGGGACTTCATCTTCAGGCATTCTTATGACATGTCTAGCCTATCTAAGGCGGTTTAATTTAACATAAACTTCTAATCTTATCTACTACATAGCAGTTTTTATTTAACAAGATAAAAAAGTACTGCATTTGTCTCTAAAATTAATGAAATTAATAATTGAATTTTTTTTTTTATCCTATGCCATGATCCTCTTTATTATATATGTATATTTTTTTGTGTGCCCTCTCCTTCCTCGCCTTTAAGGCTATACCAAGTTTTCCTAGGCCAGGGAGTGTGAGCGGTGAATCAAAAGACTACCCTGGCACCGGGATACGAACTCGTGCCTATTTTTTATCATTTTGTCTCATACATCAGATTACGGGGCAACGGCGATGCTGCTCATCCGTTAGCCAGTTCGGCCTCCCCGCCCACCAGCTTACTTTAACAAAGGTCACCACACATCTGCATTCCCATGCAGTTATATTATTTCAGCATTAGTTCACCACCTTAATATTATACTTACACATTGCTCCCAAGATTCTCATCAGTACCCACCTCATAAATTTTAGCAGTCTCTTCCTGATTCCTGGTAATATACCAGCATTCCATGGAATAAGTGAGTATCAGCCCTCCAATATTTGTAAATAGAAAAAGTTGGAAAATTTGAGAGCCTATTTCAAAATGCAATAATTTTTTTAAAACTTGTTATTCAAATTGTTACTGAAGTTTAAAACCAATAGAAATACCAATACCATTGAAGTTAAGAAATTAAGATTTTATTGATGCAATTTTATATTTCAAAAGAAAAGATTATTGTAAAGAGTTGTTTGCAACAGGTAAGAGAAAAGTTTAAATAAAAAAAACAAAACTAAAAGATTTCTGTACAAAATAAAAACATTGCATTCCTTTAAATTCAAGCTTCTTAAAAGTTTGTTGCAACTATTAAAATTTTTGTATTTTGTCTCTTTCCTCTAACTTGCAATTGTAGTGATGACCCTGAATAATTGCATCAAAATATTCTATCAAGAAGATAACTGTGTTATGGAATTTTTTTGGATATGGAAATGGTATTGCAATTAACAGAACAGGCAATCATATATGTGATCATTGGTTCAAATTAGATTTTAATGATATCAAGAGTTGAATTAATCTCTTCCTCAGATTCAAATACTCTACAAAGCTTGGATATGTTGATAAGTTTTAATTGGCAATGTCTAGGTACAGCCAAAGTAGAAATGTAAACGAGATTCCATAGCATTTAAAGTCATGAATGAAGTTATAATTTTAGAAATTGAGATTGCAATGGTAATGGACTGGTGATGGGGACGGTTGGGACGGGAGGTAGCTGACAGGTGGGAGGACAGTGGGCTTGTTCAATCAACATGATAAGGGAGTATTGTCCCCAGGGGGCTCTTATTGTATCACTATCGCTGCAATAGTCCTACTATTCTCTTCCCATCTTCGACCTACATAGAATCTTCAAACAAGTTCTTTGATGTATTCCGGGACAAAACTTCTCACACATTCTGCCTCAAAAGAAGAATTGTACAATTTTTAGAGCAATAGGCAATTAAAATTCCATAATATAAATGTTGATAGTGAGCTGCTAACACATCCTATCTGATCCTCTGTCTTCCTACGTTGATACTATGTCAGTCCTATTTGCACTAAATGAAATCTAAATGATGCGTAACCAGTAATACTAATATGAAAACCTATATGAAACAATTTATCGTTTTTTAAAATGTAAAAATTGTAGTCAGATATAAATAGATAATAAGTTTTATTTCATCTTCCAAAGTTATAACCAAGATCAGATATGTGAAAACCAAAGAACACATCTGACATCACCAGTCAAAAAAAAGATGCATCAACTAGACACAATCCATCACTCCAAGGCATCCAAATATGCTGAAAGGAGAAAGAACCATAAAATGTACAGTTTTTCAGCTAGTCCTCTGTAGTTACAAATCGAGACCACTTCCAGTTGAAAAGAATAGAAGAGATCATCCTGGCAGGACTACGGATCGGACACTCATGGCTAACACATGAACACCTAATGACAAAGGAGGCATCCCCTGAGTGTCTTTCCTGCGGTGTAATCTATGAAGAATATCGGAATGAAATGGAGTTGGAAAATAATATCGCTGAAATTTTGAAAAACAACACGAAGATGGCAAAAAATTGTTGTTATTTATTCAAAAACTGTTTTTATTTATTTTATGCGAATTATTCGTATGGGCCAGCTAGCGACCTTGGAGTGGGTCGGTTTTCTTTTTTTCTAATTTACTCATATGAAATAACCATTGCACTTAGGACAAAATTTTAATATTCATACGTCCTGTTATCTGATTGGTATACCAACAAAATTCAGGCTTCAGCCCCCCGTAGATCCGCCTGGAGTTGTTATATGCATAAATAATTTTCGTAAAATGTGTACTTTATTTACGAACTTTCATCGAGATTAATAATAATAAAAAAAAATTTAGTTAACAAATGAGGGAGAATTAACAGAAAATTTTATCAAATATAACAGAACAATATTGATCGACAGATAATTATCACTAAGTCGATCAAAGCATTTTAAAGTAAATTTATTTGTAGCTGTTGAGATAGTTATTGAGTGCTAACCTATGATATATTTTTAAATAATATTATTGACAGCAGTTAAGATCTCACAGTGCAGAATTACACATCTAAAAATCTGGTGCGCGCAACACACAACTTACCGCTCAACTTTGAATAGAAATTATTTTCTGGCCATGTTGTGGTATTATAAAATTTTTGAATTACATTTTTGACTGTGCTAAAGCTAAAAGATAGCAGCTAACAAGTCATAAATACTATTAAAATAACAAAAGTTCTATTTATTATATCACCGGTTGATTATGGATGTACGATTCGTTGATTATGGATTGTTCGATCCGTTGATTATGGATTGTACGACTATTAGTTATTAAACTGTTATTTTCTATGCAAAGTTTATTAAAACGGAATTAAGAGATTTGCATTGTCTGTCATAGACAGGTCAAAAGTTGTCACACTAATTGTTAGTGGATTCTGTTGGAATATTGCAAAGGGAAAATTTATCAAATTATTCACTAATTTAATTTTCTAAAAGGTTACATAATGATTTTTTGGAATAAACGGACGATAGATACCCAATTATTTAAAAATAATGTCAGATCTAGAGTTATTAAACTACAGTAAATATATTCAAGGTTATAAACGTATCCATGAAATATTTTTATATTTAACTTCTTCTTTCACACAAGTACAATGAAATAGTATCTTAAAAAATGTCATTGCCTTGAATCCGCGGGTTTTAAATACTTTTTTAAACTTTAAAAAAAATTTAAAAGTTTAGATTTAGTAAGAAAATTTCATTTAATTTCCTTGAAAACATGTTAGTATTTATATTTTTTTTGCCAAATAATTTAACTTCGTTACCTTCTACAACTTTCTTTATTAGATATTGATTTTTCTAAAATTCTCCGCTTTCCAACGATGTATTATACTTATCTCTTCTGACCGGAATATTCGGAGATTCATTTTCGACCTGTATAAGTATTTTTATTTTTTACTCCTTTATTTAATTATCAAATTCTTCCAAATTCTTCTGATCGGAATATCCGGAGATTCATTTTCGGCCTGTATAAGTATTTTATTTTTTACTCCTTTATTTAATTATCAAATTCTTCCAAAAGTTATATTTAGCATCTTTTCGTAACTGTTAATAATGAGAAAGAGTTAATTATTTATAATATATTTAAGGTTATGCACATATGCTTTATACATCCAAAAAATGATTTTATATTTTACTTCTTCTTTCACACAAGTACAAGAAAATAGTTTTTTAACAATGCCATTGCCTTGATAAGGTGGATTTTAAATACTTTCTACGAACGTAAAAATATTTTTTTAAGTTTACATTTAGTAGGTAAATTTCATTTAATTTCCTTGAAAACATGTGATTTACGTTATATATTATCAGTTTAAA